TAAGCTATTTTATCTTTTATGAGAAAATTAAATTAGTACCATAAATGTACTAATTGGATAGGGCCATCCAACCCTGGTTGGCCTTGTCACTTGGATTCTCAAGCCACAAGCACTTTCTTTTTGAGGTGAATACCACAGCTCTCAAGTGCTGAAATTCTAGCACCAGTCTGCCTGAGTTTGAATTCCCTGCTCTGATAGTACCAGCTGTGGACGTTAGGAATCTGGAATCTCTCTGTTTCAGTTTCCTCATCTGTAAAATGTGGATAATACTAGAGCATATCTCAAAAGGGGATTGAGTGATCTAATATATGGAAAATTTTTAAGCTTTGCTAGGTACAGAATAAGCACTGAGTAATTTTAGACATTACTTGTGATAGAGTTGTAATGAGTTCTCTTATCAAGAATCTGTAAATAGGGTTATCTGGGAATATAAGGATTTTAAATGCCTGAAAGAGTTTTCAAGAAACTCTGAAAAGTTAATGGAATGTCAGAAAATTTGACACACTGTTTCTCAACTTTCCTCTTGGATCCCCCTTGTTTAACATCGGAAATCCTTTTCCACGTGCATCTTATTAATGAGACTTCAGGACATAGCTATAAACAGCAGGGAAGACCAGGTTTAGAAGAATACTTAAACATTTGTTTAAGTTCTTTCCTAAGCTCTTTTTACTGCCGTTCTGAAAGAAGACACTGAAAGAGCCCTATAGTGATGGAAGAAAGAAAGAAGCATTGATACTACACACTATACTTTCTTTTGAAGCACAAAAACGTTAAAAGGAAAATAACTGTCCTCAACCAACATCTTCATTCTACCAAGTTTCTTTATCATTTGTTAGGCTTTAGGACTTTACAGACTTGGTGATCCAGCTCTGCCCCATTGAGAGATGCTTTTAATCCAGTTATTCCTCTCTATTTGCCCTCAATGCCCAGTAATGAGGCCCATGTTTGAGAGCAAATAAATTGGGCACTGGTCATCCACCTGGGATTTGTCTAGCTCTACAAAGTTTTCCATGGACTGTGTGGCCAGGCACTAAGAACGTGTTCTAGCCCTTGAAGGTAGATTTGGACTAATGTATTTCAAAATCAGCCCCTGCTAGGCCTCATGGTAATCTGAATTGGTTGCATACATCCAACCTGCAGTTGGAGGCCTTATACAGGGTAGTGACAGATTTAAGTAATATATTTTAAGATCTCAAATTTCCTGCCTGAAAAGTATCTGAGATTGAATTGTAATCTTAGTTCTCCTTTCTGATTGCTTCCACTTTAGTAATTGTCCAGGAGAGACTCTTTCTTTACTCTCTTTGTTGCATTCACCACTCAACTATTATCAAACAGAGGATCACTCTTGAAGAAGAGTCCCATCAAAGTGAAACAAGAAATGCTGAAGGTCATGGCACATTATTTCATCAGTAATAAATTTATGGCAAAACTTGTGCCTTTTCTATTTTGGAATTAGAACTCAGAGAGAAAGAGACATTTTCTGACAGAGGGCAGTGTGATTTGGCACATTAAAATTAATAGTACTTCAATTTTCCTCTCATTTCGGAGTGTATTGGTTTAACCAAGGTGCTTCTAAGTAAAAAAGTAACATATCTTTAATAGTCATATGATAAGGCCTGGGAAAATATTAGCAGTATACTATCCAGATATTGAGAAATTGAATGAATTTAATACTGTGTTACAATGTAGCCTTTTGCAATTGAGATATTTTCCAATTCATTGCTTTAAAAGAAATTGAAGGAGGAACTAATTGAATTGTCAACTGTAAGATCATTAAAATAATTTTTGAAGCTATATTACTATGTAATTTTTGGCATATATTTTGGAAAAGGTTCAAAGAATTGAGTGGCATTTCTATACAAGATTTTCATTTCCATCTTCTTATTTATGTGAACTAGATTTCTCTTAAAGCAGAAATAGGAATAGAAATAGAATTGATTCTTAGCTCTTTCTCATTCTAGCAGTAATGATATTTATTTTGAAAAGCTTCATCTATCCCACTAATAGCTATATTTCCAGTAAAAGCTTACTTGTTATGTTAATTATTACTTAACAACATATACAATATATTTGTGTTGTTTTATCAATATTATCCTTGTAATGATAACTCATTTTAAAAAATATTATTGCTTAGAGCTTTATGGTTGCAGAACATAAAAGAAAGTTAAGTTTATTTATAAATATTATAACTGATCAATAAAAGATTTTCAAGCTTAAAATATTATATAAGGATAAAATATTGCAGAGGACATATAATAAAAATACGAGTTCAGGACTAAAAGAGAACGATGCATAATCCATGACTCCTAAAGGATAGCTTGTTTGTGAATGTTGAATATAGATAATCATGAGTAGCAAATCACTATAATTTTTAAATTCCATGAACTATATATAAATGGGACAGTTTAATTTTAAAATGTGAATATTTTCTACAAAAATGCATTTTTTACAACTATAACTTAATTTATGTCAACTTAAAAATGTGAAAGGGGTTATATGACTGACCAAACTAAAATTAAGGATCTTTGTTTGCATGTAGTCACCTAGGTTTGTGAGTTTGCAGGGACTGGAAGATGACTTTCCACTCTGTCCCAATTCATCCTTCATGTCCCAGCCAGCTGATTCCTGGAATTGTATAGTCAGAACTTCTTAGGAGTTATTCAAACAGCCATCGTTACAGAAGTTTGCACATTAACCCTTATCTATTATTTACAACTGAGAATTAATGAATGAGTTTATCGTATTTTTTTTTAAGAATTGTTTCAGACAATTCAAAGCAGGGAGAGTCCATTAGGGCTTTAATCTTCATAAGCAAAATGGAAAAGTTTCTATAGAAGGAGAAACTTTGTGGAAAGTAAAGCTAGGGTCCCAGGATATGGAGAAA